TGTTGTATCTGTTGATGGTGTTGTTGTTGTATCTGTTGATGGTGTTGCTGTTGTACTAGACTAAAAGAATTTAATTTATATAGTCATAATCATGAAAACATCGACCTGATCCTAACGAGGAAAGGACAAGAAAACAAACAATGACAAAAGTCAAAGCATGAAAAAATTGTCTTTCAGTATATGAAACTCAAATATCTAATGAATCTTCGTAAACAAAATCTATGTTGTTCATGTCTTATTAAAGGTTCAGAAGAAAAACAAGCTGGGTCGATGCGAAATGAGTTAATCGATGCATACTTGCTGATAGAACAATAATATAGAATTACATGTATCGATCAGATCAGCAATTCTTGAAATTGATATATCTGATAATTCTGCATAAGTATCACCACAACATTGAACGTAAGAACTACCATGTAGTTTTATAATGGTTGCTCTATCATTATAACGACTAATTAAAAGCATCGAGATTGGTTGATAATTATAAACAATATCTTGAACATCCTTCAATTGTACACTTTTTTTAAAAAAATCCAATACTTGACAATTTTTGTCCGAAAATTTCTTAAATTATTACAAAAAAAAAACAATTTTATTTTATTTTTTATAATACGATTGAAACATCAGATCTTGAGATAATAGTCAAAAACATTTTTGTACACCGAAAAAAAAAATAAAATGCTTACTATTAGATAATATGGACATTTGAGAAAAACTTGTTGATGTACGTTCATAACAGCATTTTCAATAGAATGATTGCAATTTGTACAATACTTTTTGCTAACATTCTCATAATTAATATTGAATAAAGCAGGATAAGCAACAAGATCATTTGATGATATTGATTTAAATAAAAATATTGTGGAGCTTTGTTCTTCAAAAGAATTGATAAGTTGGTGGCAGAAATCACATATATACTTCGTTTTAACATTAGCTATGAGAGTATTATTTAAATCACTGAGTAATGGATGACTTTGAATAATTTCTAATGCATCTTGAATACTTATAGATTGTGGAGCATCATTAATTAAACTTGAACATTTTAATCCTGTACCTTGAATAATAGCATGTACCAAGTTATATTTATTTGCAACAAAGATTCGTTCGAAGACCAAGGTACCTACAAAAAACGAAAAAATATGATTTCCAAAATTATAACAAGTGTAAGAAGTATTTTTTGAAGCTTAAAATGTCAGGTCGAAATAAATAATCTGAAACGCTACTCGATACATTCTCGATACTTACGACTGTGGGCATACAATCGTTGAAATTGTTCTCCCTCACCAATTGTTTTTGTATGATGATGACTTGTACGCCAACTTTTTTTTACCTTCGTTGTTCTTACTATTGTTTCATAATCACCTGATTTTATAATACTATTGAAACATGTTAGATGATATATACTAGAAGATGGAAAGCCAATGGCATTCCAAGAACTAAACTGCCCCAATGACAGCATGGAAGATGGTCTTCGAGGTCGAGTTACTTGTTTCAAATTATTGAAGTTTAACAAGAGAACTTGAGGCCATTGTTGAACTTCGATGCGACGCATAGTAGCTGTATTACAATTTGAACAAATCAAATCCGATTGTGTTGGAGCAAAGTAAGCAAATAGATTTTGTTCAAGATATAAACCAGTTGTTGAACTATTTATAGGAATTGATGTGATGCTTGAACGTATCTTGGTTGTTAATTTACATCGATTACATTCATGAATTTTATATATTATCATTTGACAAGGTAATAGTGGTATTAATATATTTTCTAATATAAATGAAGATTGTTCAAATGGATCATTTAATTGAATATTTAATGAAGAAATATCAATATTTGTAGATCTAATAGTTTTATTTGGTAAATTAAGCCATTGTTTTAAGAATTTTAAAATTTTAGACAACAATGGAGAAGAATTTTTTAATGAAGACATGTATACATGACGATCGGGATTATCATTACCTACGGACAGTAGAATTCCAATCGCAACATCCAACCAAATCGGACTAAGAACAGGTAATTTCAAATTTTCATTTATATTTACTTGTGGTGTCAACAAACACGATATAAGATCATTAACAATTGGTTCACTGGGACGTTTAGTATAAAATCCTGCTCCTCTTCTTGAAACTTTTTCTCGCCATCGTTCTTCAATAGGTTTCAGTCTTTGTTCATCTATAAATATTGTGTGATCATTACTTGTACTATAACCCAACAAGGTATTCCAATACTCATCAATCATTATCATCATATCAGGAACTAATATAGATAATAAGACGTCGAGCCTTATATGAATTTCACCACCTAAAATGTGACAACCATAATCAACATATCACAGGAAATGGATCAGACATCGTCAAAAGTGAAACTATTCTTAGTGATAGATGAATAAAAAAAATAATGAATTTTTAGACATACTGAGCAAATGAAATGCGTTTCAGAAATTTATAACCAATATCATTTGTATCTTATATGTTTTAGTCATAAATTTTGTACTAAGTTATAGTCACTATTCGTGAATATTGATCTATGGTAATTAGTCTTAGTCAATATTGATAAATATGCGTTAGTTCTACATATTGCTATTCGTTAATCCTGAGAAAAAAATCTCAAAGAATTCTTTCTATTCCTTTAAAAATCCCATTTCAGCTATGCTTATGAATACGTTTTATTAGCAATCAAAGAAAAAATTTTTCTTTATTTTACCTAACTGAATTCTTTTTACAATACACATTCGTCTTTCACTTATTGCTGTTGTTAATTGTTCTTCATTGGTGGTTGTGATACTTTCAAGTGAATGAATAATTTGTCGACTATGACGACTTAAATTACCTCCAAACGAAATAAGAATATTATTGCTATTCAAATCAATGTACAGTAACAAGTCACCTAGTAATAGATTGGACCATATCGGTGTTGTTGGCATGAATGAAACTATGAGATATTTAAACCATCGCAAAATACCACGTGATGATCTATCATGCACTTGTTTTATTGAAATACTATAGAGTCTTAGAATATCATAAAATAATTTAGTTATTGTTGATTTAAATGGAGAATCAAT